GCAGGGGTAACTGCAGTTGGATCCCAGGACGGATACCCTGATGCCGTCAATCCTTTTTCTGCACCTTGTCCTCACCCACTTACTGAGGTGTGGTGAGCCCATAAGTGGGATCATTTTCAAGTTCACCCAGAGTTTTGGGGATTTCAGGGGGTGTCGGCCGTTGGGCGGTTCAATAGCCAGTTGAGTCATCTTTCCAAGATTCCTTTTGAGTCTCTCTCCCCTCTCCCGGGGAGACCCACGTGACCAGTTTTGGCAGTGAGCAACAACAACAAGTACAAGTGTGTGTGTGTGTGTGTGTGTGTGTGTGTGTGTGTGTGTGTGTGTGTGTGTGTGTGTGTGTGTGTGTGTGTGTGTGTGTGTGCATTGTGCCCACGTGGATGTACACGTGTGCTATTGGCTCTGCCTTCTTCTAGCCGGTGCGCAGGTAGCAAGCGTCACCAAATCGACATCCATCAAGGCCACTGGTTCATCTGCATCAAGATTTATGATTCAATGCAATATAACCGGTGATACGCCCCTCGTTCTTCGTTGGTTCAAGAATGGCAAAGTCTTGGCAAATGCAAGTGGACGTGCAGACTTCTCTCCCTACTTGAATACGTTCAACTTTCCAGAGAGACTAACTGCGACCGACTCGGGAAATTATACATGTGTAGCTGAGAATATTTTTGGCAATAACAGCAGAAGCATGATGCTACTGGTTCTAGGTGAGCAGTGTGTGTGATGCATTGTATGACAACATTCATTGTTACAACTAGAAAAGGTGTAGGTACCCATACAATTATTACAGAGCGAGTTTCTGACTGGTTATCGCATTCCAAGTCACGCAAAAAATGATCGAGGGTTGGATGTGTCGCGCTTTCACAGTGCACGTCATCAATCTACTGCAATGATGCGCATAACATAGCATGTGCCTACTGCGAAGTATATCAGGTTGTAAGCGTATATTAGCTCCACGATTCGAGCTCTACAACGCGTTTGCTGTGCCGATGGTCTAGCGAGGCTGTGAAAATGAGTTTGACAAAACGTGTGTGACGAATCTATCCCGAGTTGCGCCGCGGCTTGCTTCACAACCTGGCAACGCTTTTGCAGAATTTCAATGGGCACGCACCTCGCAAGTCGGTTGCATTACTTGAGCCAGATAAAACCTGCCAGCAGGGTCTACACCTGGCTTACTTGTAGGCAATGTTCACTGCTTGCTGGAGTCACCCCTGAAAGCAATGCTACCAATACCTAGCAGCAGTTATTGTATAGACAAATGTGCATTCAGTCATTATCCTGATTCTTCCAGACTGTCGACGATACTACACTGATCTGTGCAAAGTTATATCCATATTTGCCATAGTGCTGTGACTGCTGTAGTTTCCCTTTCTTCCTCTGACCTTCAGATGTTCCCGAGTTTCTGCAGCGCGCCGTGCAACCAATGATTGAACCTAACTCGCTTACTTCCAGTTCAGTAACTCTCTTCCTGACGCCACCGTCTTCAGATGGAAACTCTCCCGTGACGGAGTACGAGGTGACAGCTCAGCCGTACCCTGAGTTCCGGCAGTTTGCCCAGGCAGTGATGCTGACCACCCCAGTGCTGTCTGCTGATGTCAGTGGGCTTCGATCGGGCATGAAGTACAGCGCTTTCTACCGGGCAATCAATGCCGTTGGCTACAGTGCAGCAACTTCTGAGGTGCACTTCAAGACACTAGAATCTTGTAAGGCAAGAAGAAATCTGTGCAAGATGTGATTTTGTCTCCCTTTCAAATATACATTGAATAGGTGGAAATATGCTATGGGAATAATCTCGCAGAAACTACAACAGGTGTATGGTCCTTTCTCCTTCGGGGCTATCCATCCGTGGTTGTCAAAAACATATACGTGTATGTGAGACTATCATTCTAGGAAAACCTTGATGTGATACATTTGTAGCTTATTTCTCTTCTCGAGTAAAGAAGAGTTTTGGTGTGATATGAATAGGGGTGAAACGAAAATGAATATTGACAATCTGAATATTCTTTCATTTGAAACGAACGAACGAACGAATATTCGTTCGTTTGACGAGGAAATATTTTGTGTGCCACGTTGGTACCCGAAGAGACTGATCTTGTCACTTGGCACCTCTTGAGATCGACAATGGCTACCGAGCGGCGATCTATTGTTCAGGAGGTCGTCGGGCTTCTGCCTGACGATGCTCTCCGGCTCAATACTCAGGACAAGGATCTTACGCTGCTGGGATTACGCGAGATGATGCGACTGAGCTGTGTCGAGATTCAGACGATGATCAAACAAGTGATCACTCCGACATCGACGCGCTGCCACCGAGCCATGATGAGAATCTCGATGACGCTGAGTCGGTAACAGAGACTGCGACCGGCACCAGTACAGCAGCAGGAACGAAGAGAAAGCAAAAGCCCTTCCAGCCAACAACGCCGAGGATGTAGCAGAGCGCCGTGTGAAAGTATTCGTATTCGCTCGTCGTAGGGAATATTCGTTCAGTTGAGCTTATCGAACGAACATTCGAGTATTCAGAATATTCGTTTCACCCCTAGAGATGAAACTTCAGAATCTTAAGTCTTCTGACTACTAAAATGTATGGTGTTGTACCGAGGACGCCGTGATAGACCATTCGTGTGATACTATCATACAAACCATACATGAACTGTCGGGCGCCGAAGAACGGAGCGCCGAAGAACGACCCTGCAGGCTAGAATTCCACCCAGCACAGCATATCAATGTACATGTATACACGGTGACTCGACTGCACATTAAATGGAATACGTAAAGATAAGAACGGTACAGGCTAGGAGGCTGGGCCCCCGGTTTTTCGGCGACCAACAGTACTGTAGCCCTATTGGAACAACACAGTGTGGTGGTGTAAGCGTATGCTACCACAAAACACCCGATATATTAGCAGCGACAATGCAAAAGTAGCAAACTTTGGAGAATGTTCTTGGAGAACGCTGCGTCGCAACCTCTTGGTACCAAAGCCATGTGACTGAGCCCGCAGAGGTAAAACAGTTCTGAAGTCGTTTACATAAAAAAAAAAGTAAATTATCGTATCCGTTCCCGAAGGGAACTCACGACGGCCGCTAACACCCGATAAACCCTAGCGGCAGATGCAGCGCCTAACGGTGGGGGTGAGTGGGTAAGTCTCACAACCACTGGCACAAGTGCCGAAAGCGACCCCATTAGCTGCATCCATGTACCCCTTGTGCCTGGCCACAAGTTCCCAATTGACTGTGGGTAGCAGCACGGCTGGAAAAACCGCTCCCAGGCAGGACTTGAACCAGGTACCTCTCGTATCTCAATCATGGTCTTTGACCAACCCACTGTGCCTGCCTGGTTACATGCCACACGTTATATTCGTCGCACCCATTTACTTTGATGGCATCTGTTTGCGCCGGTATTCTCACTCACAACACAGAGTCTGAGGTTTATAGAATATTATGATTATTATCACTAGGAGAAGACTGTATCCATTGCAAACTGATTGCAATACTTCAAAAGGCTAGCTACTACCTGGTAGTAACAGAAACAGCCAAAGACCAAGAACACCACAACTGCACCAGCCAGCTCTTTCCTTGCACTCCCTACAAATACATCAAAATCAAGCAGTAAAATGCAAATCCGCACGCGTGTTTGCCGGAACTGAACTTCCGTAGCGCAGCTGATCATTGCGGCTGCACGGGACGACCTTCCCACCACAGTAGGGCAAAGAACTATGCATGGCACTAGCAATGAATGCATGCAGCAGTTATGAATAGGGACATCAACAAGACACAACACACAGTAGTCATGAGCAGGCTGAGGTAACTGAGGGCCGGGGAACAGTACAGACATGTGCATAACAGCACCTAGGTTTACTACTACCCAAGGTTATTCATGTCTTGGTCTAAACTGAGCAAGTTACTAGTGGAGATCTGTGGGGTGACTTGGTCGTACCAACATCCTCCCCCCGGTGACGTCTTCAAGCGTCACCCTCATTCAGAACGTCCAGCACACAGATCTTTGACACCGGCCTGCGGTATGTCCCGGACGCTGTCTTGACGTCGGCCACTCTGACATGTCCATCGGTGCCGGGATAGACGGCCGTAATGGTACCTTTCGGCCAGCTGCCTCTGGGTAGGTCTCTGTCGGCAATCACGACTATGTCATTGACCTTGACCTCTTTCTGCTGTCGCTGATGCCACTTGGTCCTCCTTGTCAACGTCGGCAGGTATTCATGCAGCCACCTCCTCCTTTTCCCAGCACGAAAGCGACCTGGGCACTCCCGTCGGCGAAGGTGACTCTGAGGTAAGCTGCAGCCGCAAAGGCCGACTCGCTGGCGTCTCCAAAGACGTGTAGTTGAACTTGGGCTCTCTTGGTCATATCTTCACTGTAGGGGCGTGGCACAGACAGCTCGCTCAGCTTGAGTAGCATTTGCCACCACTCTTTCCAGCGTGTCACGAGGTCATCCGGTAGCGGCTGGTCCCAGCTGACTCCGGTGCGCCATATCCGCTGGAGAAGTACCTTTGCCGATACCGTGTGAAATGCCAGGTAGCCAAGCGGATCAAATACTGACATGCACATGCGTAGCACATGTCGCTTTGTCGGCTGCGTCACTTCTGCTTCTTGTGTCACCAGTCGTGCACTTAGCTTGAAGCTGAAGATGTCCTCCCGCGGCATCCATTTGAGGCCAAGGGTCTTCTCGGTCGGGGTGGCCGTTTCACCGCTGTCGATCGTGAGAGCGCTGTTGGACCTGAGCTCGGGTGGCACGCTTGCTAGGACCTCTGACGAGTTGCTTACCCAGCTAGGAATGGTGAACCCGCCGGCTTTGTGGATCTTGACGACTTGAAGCGCTCTGGCGACAGCTGTTTCCACTGTTGGCGTTGAATCGAAGTAGTCGTCCATGTAGTGCTTGCGGTTGATTGCGTAGACAGCTTCTTCGTGGTTGTCCCTGAACTCCTCAGCATTCCTCCGCATCACGAACTGGGCCGAGGCAGGCGAGCATACCGCTCCGAACGTCATCGCCTTCATTTGGTACGCGTCCGGCTCTCTGTCACGTTTCATGCCTCGCCAAAGGAAGCGTTGGGATGGTTGATCTTCTTCCCGAATCTGAACCTGGTGGAACATCTGCTGTATATCGCCGCCGAAGGCAATACGGTGCTCCCTGAACTTGAATAGAACGCCGGTGAGAGAATTCAGCAGATCCGGACCCGGAACCAGGGCGTCGTTTAGGCTCATGCCGTTGCTTGAGGCTGCCGCGTCGAAGACTAGTCGCAGCTTCCCTGGTTTGTTCAGGTTCGTGACACCAAAGTGCGGCTGGTACCACTTGCGCTCGTGGAATGCTGTCTCCTCTTCTGGTGTCAGCTTGAAAGCATAACCGGCAGCCAGGTACTGTTCGATCTTACTGCAGTACGCGTCAGCGAAGACTTGATCCCTGTCCATCTTTCGCTCGATGGAGAACAGCCGCCGGAGGGCCATGGCCTTGCTCTCTGGTAGGAGTATGCCACTTTCTCTCCACAGGAGTCCGGTTTCCCAGCGGTCTCCGACTCGTCTGGTGGTCGATTCCATGATCCTCTCAGCTCGCGCTTCCTGTCGGGACCGGATCTTAGTGCTGGTGACCTTGACACCAAACGAGTCTGTGGTGAAGAAAGACTTGACGAGCAGATGTAGGTCGTCATCGAAGCAGCCATCTTTGATTTGCGCTGACAGGCTGCTGTGGGCGTTTTCGGTGCTGAGGTCATCGACTCTGCCGTGGATTGCCCAGCCTAGCTTGCACCGCGTGGCTACCGGCGATCCGGGCGGTCCCTCGACCCACTCTCGGGGCATGATCAGGTCACAATTGTCCTGCCCGATGAGCATTCTGGGCTTCTGCATATCCTCCACTGTCAGATCAGCGTCTCGGAGGTGTTTCCAGTGCTGGCAGGTGCTGTTGACGTCGAGGTCTTGCTTGGGTAGATCCAGTGTAACGGTTCGTACATCGTTCAGGTAGAACTCCTGCCCGCTTCCGAACACCGAAACCTCCACCTTCCTGGAGTTGTTGTCAGTCTGGCTGGTGTCGTCCGTCCAGGTCAGTGTCAGCGGGCAGTGCGTCCCCTTGGCGCCGATCTCCTTGGCTAGGCTAGCGTCAAGCAACGTGACTGTAGATGCTTCGTCGAGCAGAGCGAACGTGTGTACCGTCCCCTTCGTGCCTGTGACGTTGATGGGTACTGTGCGCAGCATCACCCTCCCACTGGTAGGTCGTCGAGTTGCGTTGCACGGCGCTGGCTGGTCCCCCGTCCTCTCCTGCGTGCTCGGTTGCGGCAGATGGAGGAGTCGGTGGTGTAGCCTTTCGCACCCGTCACGTCCGCACCGTGCTTTCTTCGGGCAGTCCCTGACTTGGTGTCCACAGCCAAAACAGACGAAGCAGCGGTTCTCATTCTTGATCCACTTCCACCTGTCCTTGACTAGGGCCTTCTTCAAGGTGTTGCAGTTGGCAGCAGAGTGTCCGGCTTTCTTGCAGAAACCGCATTGTTCTTCTCGTGCGGTGAAGGTGTTCCCACGGAGGCCGCCTGGTCGCCTGCCAGATGGCGGCTTTTCAGCTCTGTCAGTGGCGGTGAGTCTTCTGACGTGGCTGATAGCGTCCGCTCGTTGTGATAGCCATTCGGAGAGTGTTGCCAGGGTCACTCCGGTCTGTTGGGTATGGACGAACTCCCCCCATTGCCGCTTCAGGCTGTTGGGAAGTTTCATGATCACTTCCTGCCGCAGGGTAGGATTTGTGAGATGTCCGGTATCGTTCATGAGCTGCATTGTTGCGACGAGGTTGCCGACCGCATTTGCCGTGTCGATGAGGGCCTCGAAGTCCTCTTCTCCAGCTGGCTTCAGTTTCTTGACGCCGTCAATTATGGTCTGTATCACCTGCTCTGGCTGCCCGAACCGCATTTCCAGAGTCTGCATGACACGATCGACGTTATCAGGTACGATGAGCATGGCTTTGACGGTGTCCTTAGCCTTCCCTTTGAGGGCTTTCTGTAGCCTGGCCATATTCTCCGCATTGGAGAATTTGCATTCACTCGTCGATGACGTGAACATATGGCGGAACATCGGCCAGGACGCCGGGTCGCCGTTAAACTCTGGGAGGTCCTTTGCGGTGGACTGTCGGGCGACTATCTTGTGAAGGTCGCTGCCAGTATCTTGGGAGCCATGTCTCTGCGTGGCTGTCGTCAGGTGTCCGGCCAAGGCTTCCGCAAGCTGGCTGACAGCTGTCACCACTGAAGTCTGAGCGGCCTGGGCCGGGGTGTGCTCTTCATCTGCGATTGGCTGGTCCCTAGCGCGTGCTGCGGGCGGCAGGTGTTGTGTCGGCTCAGCCTTGTCGCCAAGGGACTCCACATCCTCAGTATCTTTCGGGACGGGTTGGTGGTACTCAGCTGGAGTCCGGCGGTGGTATGACGATGACTTGTCCACAGACCTCGCTCCCCTGAGTTCTGCAGGTCGAGGCTCGTACTCGTGGACGGCGTGGAATAGAGCATCGTTACCAGGACTACTCGTGTCAGTCACGGTATCACGTCTCTGTTTGACTGCCCGGTCTGCAGGGCTACCTCGCGCTGCGCATTCCTCTAGGAACAGCTGGCGCCACTGGTCAGCTTTCCTTTGCTGCTGCTCCGCAGATTGCCTGGCTTGACTCAGGAGCTCACGTAGATGATCCTTGTCACCCTCCGCGCGCGCAGCCTGCTCCTCGATCTCCTGGAGTTCTTCGCGTGACCGCTGTCTCTGGCAGGCCATCGCCTCGAACTCTACCTTGCGCTGCTCCGATACGCGCTTCATCTTGTCGAGTTCAGCCCGCAGTTCGGTGTTGCAATCATACAGGTCGCTGTTCTCAGCTTGAGCTGTGCTCTTGTGGAGGTCTAGCTCGCGACGTGTTCGCCGCAATTCAGACTGAAGGTGTTGCACGACAAGATCCTTCTCATGACTTTCGTCAGCGGACTGTTGTAAACTTTGCTGCAGGCAATCAATCATCCGGTGTGCGTGACTGAGTGCGTCTTCGTTGGCCTGTGACTGTGCATTGTGTGCGGTTACAGCTGACTGCTCAGGGAGATTCACAGGTTCAGGACTACCCTGCAGTGCTTGGAGCGGTGATGGCGCTAGAGCTAGCGGTGTGGCATCTGCGCGTTCTGCCATGCTGTACGGAATGTGTGAAGAGGCACTAGTACCTTGCTCTACCTGCTCCGTGCGCTGTGTACCGGTACTTACTGAGTCTGACACTAAAACTGAGTTTTTGCCAACTCCTTGAAGTCGCTCTACTGTCCTACCGCTTGTAGAACGGGACTTGACTGTACGTGGGTCGCAGACACTATCTGCACTCAGGTCTATCAAGTCCGGGTCACTAGTTTGCCCTGACTGTACGGATTTAGCAGGGTACAACACGCTCACCTCATCGCTGCCATTTGCAGCTGTGGGCGCTTGCATTTCAGATCGTCGCTCTTCCTCGAACACTTCCTCTCTCATCGCGGGCGATGAAGACTTCGGTGTGCCAGAGCGTCTGGACGCCCTCTCGAGATTCAAGCTGGCCAGGTCAGCCTCCGCCTCTGCGACCCTCTTTCTCGCTTCTAGCAAGGCGCACCTTGCTTCCATCACTGATGGCGCACTTCCTGACGTGCGGCTTGATGCGAGCGACGGTGTCTGCCTGTTGAAGCTGGTTCTTGGACTGGTCGCACTCTCTTCGTCCTCAAATCCCAGTCGCCTGGGAGCAACTCCCTTGGTTGAACGAGCACTCGTTCTTTGTTCCTCCGCCATTCGCGATCCGGCTCGAAGGACCAATGTTTGCGCCGGTATTCTCACTCACAACACAGAGTCTGAGGTTTATAGAATATTATGATTATTATCACTAGGAGAAGACTGTATCCATTGCAAACTGATTGCAATACTTCAAAAGGCTAGCTACTACCTGGTAGTAACAGAAACAGCCAAAGACCAAGAACACCACAACTGCACCAGCCAGCTCTTTCCTTGCACTCCCTACAAATACATCAAAATCAAGCAGTAAAATGCAAATCCGCACGCGTGTTTGCCGGAACTGAACTTCCGCAGCGCAGCTGATCATTGCGGCTGCACGGGACGACCTTCCCACCACAGTAGGGCAAAGAACTATGCATGGCACTAGCAATGAATGCATGCAGCAGTTATGAATAGGGACATCAACAAGACACAACACACAGTAGTCATGAGCAGGCTGAGGTAACTGAGGGCCGGGGAACAGTACAGACATGTGCATAACAGCACCTAGGTTTACTACTACCCAAGGTTATTCATGTCTTGGTCTAAACTGAGCAAGTTACTAGTGGAGATCTGTGGGGTGACTTGGTCGTACCAACAGCATCCATTGGAGTACCTTGTTATCCTAGTCCTAAAATACTAATATGAAGCACACTCAACTGTGGGTATTTCAGGAACATTGTATCTCAGCCTCATGTCTGGCCAGGACTGTGCGAACCAGCATGCAGAAGACTACAGGTTGTGGAGTTTTCGGTTTTCCCGGAGTTTCTGTTCCGAATTGAGATACCATAATCAAGAATTGCTCCTCAGTTGTGTGATCTAGCTATCAACTGCTGTGTCCTTGGTGTTGTCCATCACTGATGTGGGCTTTCACTCACTTTAAACTGCTGTGTAAGGGCAATATTTGATTTAAAAAAGGCCATAGTAAATGTTGAAAGCATTCAAACTATGCTTCTATTTCAAACCACAACTTTATGCATACTCGATCACAATAAAGGCATGCCCGTGTAGAAACGCACCCTTCAAATATCTTTGCTTCGGTATTTTGATCTTCCTGGTGCTGTGCGTGTGTGTGCATGTATGGATGTGTGTATTCGTGTGTGTGTGTGTGTGTGTGTGTGTGTGTGTGTGTGTGTGTGTGTGTGTGTGTGTGTGTGTGTGTGTGTGTGTGTGTGTGTGTGCTGTACGCCAGTGCCGGGTCCTCCTCAAAATATGCAAGCTGTGGCCACATCATCCGGAGGGATTACCGTCTCAATAACTGTAAGATGATCAGACAAAATAATTGACCAGTTTTTGAATGAATGAATCAGTTTGACCATGCCACTATGTGCTGAAGCATTTACGACACTCGTGTGTCATTTTGGTTTGTTTTCTTTGCTGTCTGGAAAAGAGAAGTTGTCGTCGAGCATGCATACTTAGTCAATATTGCAGTGGGACACACATTGCAGTGCAGTGCGTAACAAAAAAAATTAAACTAATGTGCTGCTCTTTCATTTCTGATGTGCCCGGCTGAAGCAAACTACAACTTCAATCTGTTTGTTTTAAAATGTCTGTGCACAGCCGACCCTGCCGTCCAATGCTCATGGAGTGGTCACTGGATATGTTATCTCATATCAGGCGTCTGTTTGTGCCGTGACTGGTGAATGTCCCTGCCATGGATACAAGTGCTCGCTTTTTGGAGTAGTTCCTCTCAATGAAGGTAAGTACAGTGCGATCAGGTGTGCTGACTGAAACTCGGATATTGAGCCAATAGTATCAAGTAAGAAAAAGGACCAATAAGTGACGAGTTATGACTAACAGTCCACCAAGGTAACGAGATCTTATACAGTCAGATAGTGCGACAACAATGCACAAAACTGACAGGGATATTGAGACATTCACCGACCTGACGCCTAGCTCCACAACACATCCACGAAGCGCAAATCAACAACATTCCAATTCAGAGGGCTCGGGTCACCAGCAATACGGCAAAACGTACGTCGTGTGAAACTACACTGTACTTGTTTTTGTACCAAACTTGTCCATCAGCGTTACATCAACATTGAGTTTAGTAGGATATTGACTTTCGGTTTGTGACAATTCGTCTTCGCTTGGCTTCCCCTCTTGATGTATATATTATGTACATGTACACACACTTGAGAGGAATCAAAGAGTTTCTGCTGTAACTCTGAGTTTCACGGTTGTAAAGGGGAAGTGCATCGATTTTTCGAGTATGGTCCAGAAGAAAGACAATTTGATATTGGTTCGAATGGCATATCTCTCGCTTCCATCAATAAGCCAAACTTGCCAAATCGCCAATTGCATACTCACGTTGCCATAGCGACCAGCGCAGTGATGACGTACGAAAGGCTTAGCTCCACCACAGAGAAGATCGATCACTGCAGAATTGGTCATTTTCAATTGGTTTATTGTATTCACGATGTGAAAGAAGGGCTGTGTTCAATGCTGTTAGTGCAGTGAACTATTTGTTAGTAGTCCTCTCGGTTGTGTACTGGGACGTGACACCGACAGGAGAAAGCTGGAGTGCGGAGACACCAGCAGACAAGCGAAAATAGTGACAAACTAAAATGCTGAAATCTTGGTTGGGACAAATGAGGCATTCAGCATTTCCCCCAACCAAGGACCATGCCGTTTGCTCTTTCCACTTCCTGAAGATGAATGTGATGCTTCCTGGCGACTCTCCTATCTCTCGTAACATCTTCTGAAGCCAGGTGAGACGACGGGTGGTGGAGATTGACGAATGAAATAATGTCATAGGTTTGAAAATTTGCTGAAAATGTCTCAGGAGAGATGGCGAATTCCTAGCATCTTGTCCTGGAGGAAACCATTTCCTAGGCACAGTCAGCCTAGGAAAATGCATGAGAAGGGCGATAAATAGTTCACTGCACTAACAGCATTGAACACAGCACTTCTTTCACATCGTGAATACAATAAGACAATTGAAAATGACCAATTTCTGCAGTGATCGACCTTCTCTGTGGAGGAGCTAAGCCTTTCATACGTCATCACTGCGCTGGTCGCTATGGCAACGTTAGCATACAATTGGCGATTTGGCAAGTTTGCCTTATCGTATGGAAGCGAGAGATATGCCATTCGAACCGATATCAAATTGTCTTTCTGCTGGACCCTACTCGAAAAACCGATGCACGTCCCCTTTAACCGATCATCAGACAGCAACTGTCTGATGATCGGCAAAAACCGTTAAACTCAGATTTACAGCAGAAGCGCTTTTGTTTCCTCTCAAGTGTGTGTACTAGGCTCTGCACCTTGGTATATTGAGCACTGCCATGAGCAACCACAACTCCCTCCGAGTTTTTATTATGTACATGTACATACCTTTGAACCTCCCAAGTTGGGTAGTCTGTTGCCTTGCGTCGTCCAGTTGTAGTTAGACCGGTTTGTCCGATGGTCACAAGGCTTGCTAGTCACCTCACCATCATCCCGTTACGTTCTACATTCTTTATTGCCGAGGGACATAGCTCGTGCACATCTTCGTGGCGCATCCCTTCCCCTCATTGGAACTTTCCGTACCTGATCCTTCCAATTTGGAAGGTTGTTGGTTTGCACTTCGTAGATATGTTGGTGCTAGGTGTCAGGTCGTTGAATGCCTCAATATCCTTGTCAGCTTTTTGCCTTGTTGTCGCACTATCTGACGTTAGAACGAGGTCTGTCTCGTTGTCCAGGAAACGACCAATCAGCGACATTCCCGCCAAGGGCCTTATCAGAGTTTAAAGCCCGCTCAATCGTTATTTTACTACTCTTGATGACGCGTCGAGGGCCTTGGATTAGTCTAAAGCCCGCTGAATATACTCTAAACTGGTGCGTACAACTCCCTGTATGCATTATAGTACGGTGCAGATAATGAACTCTGCATAAAATGTACGGTGTACTACTAAAAGCTACGCATTTCAGAAGTGTGTACGTTTTTGCCCCCGTATTCTTTTATCTGTACGAATTTCCTTTGTCAACAGCTTGCGGAAACCTATAAAAACCGAAGATCAAAGTCATTAGAGGTATCGACAAGGGGCTCCACAAGCTATGAATAAGAATGAAGCTCGCAATAAGAGCCCAGCATTTCATTTGCTTCCATTCTACTTTTAGGAGTCCTAAGTGGTGCTGAGTTACCATAACTTACCAGAAGAAAATATTCTTTCATACCACACCAAGTCTCTCTGCACACAAACCACAAAACTACCCAATATAATGGTACACAAGCATAATGGAAGTGAGATAATGCATGTAACCTCGTTCTAAAATAGTTAGTGCATGGCAGGGAGGGTCTTATGGCTTGATTTTGCCCTTCAGGGTAGCCCTCGGGGCTACAGCCCTCAGACTAACCTGTCGGGCACTAACAAGCCATAAGGCCCTCCCTGCCATGCTCTAACCTATAAGTAAAATATCCCGTTTCCTTGGTGGACTGTTATGCATAACTCGTAAGTTATTGTTCTTTTCAGGACGTAATGGAGATAATAAAACATCCAGGCACTATTCGATGTTGCTATTGTGCTAGCTGCTGCACACTCCGTCTCCTGAGTTATACAGTAACCTTATATTAAAAATTATTAAAAAGTCTGAAGAAGGGCTGAGGCTTCCTGCAGCTTCATCTGTGAAAAGAATTCGGGTGGACACACCCATTCCCATAGCACTGCACATCACATCCAAACCAGTTCCGTTATTTTTACAAGGTTTCGGCACTTTGCCATCGTCAGGTAATAACAATGAATACCGTGGAAGCCACACAAGAGCAGTATATACGCAGAGTGTAGCGCCAAAAAATATGCGAATTATGTCACCTAGTGTGCAGAAGGGGGGGGAAGAGAGAGAGAAAAGGCGCAACTAGCACATCACGGAGGAGAAGCAGCAGAAGGTAGCGCGCATTGTGCTCTGTGAATGGCGTTACGCAGAGTGTAGCGCCAAAAAATAAAATGATGCGAGTTATGTCACCTCTATACAGAGGGGGGGGGGGAGAGAGAAGGTGCAACTGTGCACATCACGGTGAAGAAGAGCGCGCCGTTGTGCTCTACGAAGCGTATTAAAAAGTCGGCGTGGAGACAAGAAAATCTGAATATCTGCGTATGAGACCGACTGGCTCCGCCTGTCTGCGGCTGTACGGATTGCCTAAAATACATCAAGCATCTTGTCCACTGCAACCAATCTTGTCTATGATCGGGTCGCCACAATACAAAACCTCCAAATGGCTATGCAAAATGATCCAACTAGTGGTGGACCATTACTGTAAACACAATGTCAAAGATACCTTTGAATTTGTCGATCTTCGTACGCAATCCATTCCATTAGAAAACCACATGTTTTCCTTCGACGTAGTGAGTCTTTTCACTAGCGTACCCATAATTGAAACCATCGATATTTGCGCCAACATGCTTTACCATGTGCAGGAGGTGGATACCCCTTGGCTGTGCGAGGCAGCATTTCGGAAACTCATGTTAATGGTAACCACAGGCGTTGACTTTTCATTTTGCGATGTCATGTATCGCCAGGTGGATGGCGTAGCCATGGGATCACCCCTTGGACCCATATTGGCAAATGTTTTCGTTGGCTATTACGAATCGATGTTAGACGTATCTAAATGGCCTCCGCTGTACGTACACTTTGTGGATGATTCCTTTACTCATTTTGAATCATGTGTGAAAAGCGAGGCTTTCCTTTTGAAATTGAATAGCCTACACCCGCGAACATGAACAATCAAATTAACTGTCATTCCTTGACGTTTCGGTGGAGAAGACTGAGGGTGGTGTTTGTCATGAGCAATGCTCTAACTATCTGAGCTATCAGACCAGGCCAAACGTAGAAAATGATGGCAATTTTTTCTTTCTCTTTTCAGGCAGTTCACTTCCAAGACAAATCCTTTGAATTTGATGTTCCCCCGATCCTTTCAACAATATTATTATTGGCTGATCATGTTGAGTACCTTGTAAGCTATCCGTCTACTCTCTGTTACTAAAATGAAAATTCAGTATAAGGTACTCTGGCTCGAAGGGCCATTAGAATCCTTCCTTCATTAACGAGGTTCTGTATATCCAGAGTCAAGTATAACGCAGGGTCCTGAAAAATAGTACCGTTTACACCCCAAAGTCCTCCGCCTCATTAAAATTGTCGCTTCGCACATCGCAATGTTTGTGACTTGCTCATCTTTAATAGTCAGACTGTCGGAATCGCTGTTTTCTGTGTTCGAACATTGGTGTGACCCTTCCTGCGCAATGTCTACTTGTTACTGAAGCCGTGGTGGTCTTGGAACGCTCTTCCGCGTCAAACAAATTCATCGCGCTCTGCACTATTTTGCCGCAGAGCGCGTATCTTTTTTCCGGAGTTCGTGCTGGCCCACATCGTTTGCGTGGGCATTTATCAAGACTGCAAGCTCGGGTATAAGAAGCATGGTATCTCTCCTGAATAGACCTTGTGCCAGTTGTACAGACCCACGAAATCCCGTAGAATCCCGTAGACCCGGTTGGGTGTTCATTGTGTGCTATGCATGCGCATTTGACCAATTTCATCCTCATAATTTAATGGCAAGCAATCGCTTTTCCAGCTTCTTCACTTTGGTTAGAACTAATGACTAGATCTTTGTCAGAAAAAGGTTTTCATATGAAATGCCTTCAAGGCCCTTTTCTTAGTGGAAACAGCAGAAAACACAATAGGGTCCTGCACATTCAACACCCAACCGGATCTACGGGATTCTACGGGATTTCGTGGCTCTGTACAACAGGCATAAGGCTTATTCAAAATGGTGAAGTTGACAATGGCAAGAACAAAGTGTTCTCAAATTCCTGAAATGCGCTCAGTGTGGTGCATGTTGCTTCGAAGGTAGCAGGTCTGAAAACACCAACGAAATCCGTGAAGCGCTAGCCAAGGAAAGAATGCGCGGATCTGGTTACCCTATCCCACCGGAAGGTTGTTACAGTGTACTTGCAAAATGCTAGTTTGCTATCATTGCCTGTCACCTGGAGGCATGGATCACTTGAAAACGAAGTTTCGTGGCCTGAATTTGAACGCGCGTCTTGTTCAGCATATTGTTGAGTGCTGAAGGGTCTGCCTCAAACTCTGATGAAGATATCGACCTTAGCCACAAGTGCAGCGAAGCGGGAGGTTACAAACTAAAGCTTGGTCTGTCGGCAATGCTCTGCATCAATTTCTAGCTGATTTCTTTGCACTTCGAGTGGACAAAACAAATTTGAAAAATTCGTCTGGGAAGCGACAATTGTAATGATGCGGAGGAAGTACGTTACTTCGTTGGTACTTTATACTGAAGCTACGCACAGTGAATACCTTTTTAGAGCAGGCCAAAGTGCTCAATACAGAAGACAGAGCAGTGACACATACCGCATTGTCCGGAGTATAAGCCACACTGGAGTATAAGCTGCAACCCCCCCCCCTTTTTGCCAAGAAATACAGATATTTACCCTAAATATTGCCTTTAATTTGATCATCAAAGTACATCAAGTGTATACTCCGGAGAATATGGTAGGTCATTGCGATGAAGGTAGACACGAGTTCACAACTCAGAGATTCAAGCCAGGTCGGCAATTATCAGGTGAGTTAAGAATGCAATGAAACGTTATGAAATCACACTGTATTGTATTCGCTGGCTCTCAGTCTGGGTTTTTATTAACTAAGCCTTCTCTTGTCCGGGCAGGCTGGTCATTGTCTCTTGTGGGATTGCGCTACCTCACCACATACCAGGTGACAGCGGCAGCCGTCAACAGTGTAGGTGCAGGGCAGAGAGTTACTGCCACCATCACAACAGGACAATCACGTGAGTCTGAAATGGTTGTGCATGCGAGTGTCTGCAGATGCCTCATGGTGTGCTTGAGATTAAACAGACCGAACGGGAGTCGTGGATAGGATTCAAATTAGCTGAAAGCACTACTATTGTGACTGCCTTTCTGTACCTACTGCCAGTCCCGTGCCATCTCCACACTTATACAAAGGGACGACGATAACTACATTTAGGAAGACTGTTTATAACAAGACGACAACGGAAACACAACTGGACGTGACGAACTCAAGAAGAAGACTGCTTTTCACACCACAGAAACAAGCGCATGCGCCAACATGACGTACACACGACGTACACGAAATAACGTACTACAACACTACTTAGTGTCACATCAATCTATGGACTGAATCACTTACTACAGCAAAAAAGATCACAAACCAATACCAAGACCATGGGTTATCTTTTGGAAAAATACTCTCTTTTCCGTTTAGGGAGAGGTTTGTGTTATCTTTTCAATAAAGTTCAGAAAATCAGATTCCTCAAGAGTCGAGGCATCCTTTCCCTCTTTTAAAAATGCGCTTGTTAGTTTTGAGTTGACCGTAACATCTTATAAGAAATATGAGCAGCACTGGGATGTTCTTTACTTAAGAGCTATGTTCATATTTGCCCATTTCTGCAGTATCCTACCTGTTGGATATGCTCATGTCTCTCAGGAATTGGACCAGTAAGAAATGCCAGCTTTGTTGCCACATCGCCAGGAGAGGTTACTCTGCATTTCATGGTAAGGGAATGTCTACGCTATGTGCTCTTCTGCCGCAGTGTGGGTAGTGCTGCCTGCATTAGTCCCGGCGTGGTCCAGTGCATCTGTTTCTTGGCCGACGCGTGAGCCGCAGGGTGGGTGAAAAATGTCTGTCTATGGTCATGCATGGAGGAAATGGCTGTAACTTTAGCTTGCGGCTAGCATGGATCTTAACAGCCGCTTACCCTCTCGTAAGCAATAAAACGTTTGTACTGGAAGCATACCTGACATTGGTAGCACGGTACACTCATACCTTGTTTATCTGAGCTGTCCGGGACCAGGCACCGCCCGTAACTTTGAAATGTCCGTAACCTGGCAACTCGGAATCGCATACATGCACACTGTGATGGGGAGAGGCCTGAGACGTGGCATGTGATGTCATTAGTATTTGTACACTGAATGCACAAACAGCAGAAGAGTAGTAGTGTTTACCAGAGAGTGCCTGGTAGACCGAAATGTCCGGCTAACTGAGGTATGAGTGTAATTAGGGCTTCATGACATCATTATTTTTACAGTACTGTGCGCTCGTACCGTTGATACCTGTATCTATCAGATCACCCCTACACCACTTGTTACACAAAGTACTCCTGATATCCCAGGTGAATACCTTCATCATTAGAGTACCTACTCTTCTCTATCCACTATGACTGTTGCAATCCAGAATGATGGACGCTGTGTACTCTTGTTTCCGAATAGAGTGCTGCTCAATGAAAGCCGGTTGTGTACGTCAAGTATGCACCGGGTTTTGTGCAGCACTAGACCTGCCGACCTTGTAATGTGAAATGGTGCAGGGCGCAAATTTTGACTCACGTGATTGAATTTCACTGAGCGACACTGAACCTTTGATGGAAAATGTACTCAAAACTATCCACTTCAGAAGAGTAAGTCACAGCGCATTTGTTATCCAGCTGCATTATAGTTTAAAAGCAGGAACAAGCGGTCGCATAATCGGCAATCTAGGAAACACGTTTTCAGCCCTATTTCTAATCCAACATTGTGTGTCACTGTTCTTTGTAGGCTCCCAACACAGTTCTCGCCCATGACAAAATGACTGGCTATGAGCTGAAGTACAAAGCCGCTGAATGCAGTGAACCAGGAGACTGTCCATGCAGCCTATACACCTGTTCTTTACAGGGATCAGCTGACCTCGGTACGTCGGTACATTGTAATGCTAATGAACGTAGTTCGGGCACTGGTTCTTTTCCACAAAGTTTTCGACCATTTTGAAAAATAATTCGGGGTCGAGGCAGATCGTTTTTCCACCGTACCCTGCGTGTGTGTGTGTGTGTGTGCATGTGTGTGTGTGTGTGTGTGTGTGTGTGTGTGTGTGTGTGTTTGTGTGTGTGTGTGTGTGTGTGTGTGTGTCCCATATGGTGCAGTGGTATGTGCAGTTGATTTTCTATTGAGAGGTTGCGGGTTCCGTTCCCGACGATTATGGTATGGTCACACACGTCTTTCCTCTCTTTCTAAGACTCCTCCTGACTTTTCTAGTTTCATTCTCCTGGGTGGCTACCAACAGCCAGTGCATGTCGGAGTATGCAGTGTGGTGTGGGTGTGTGAAAAAAATGAAAAAGACCGAAAAGGCCAAAAATATACTTCAAATAGCTATGTGATGTAGACGAGGCTGAATAGTGGCGTTCAATTCTTCAGCCTTGGAAGCTGTTGAATGGTGCAATCCCAGCACAAGTTACTATGGTTTCTGCTATAGCATCGCTATCATCGCCTCCGGCGATGGGCGTCAAAAGGTCAAATGTGTGTGTGTGTGTAGGGGGGGGGGGGGGTGCGTGTGTGCGTACATACTGAAGCTGGCTTTAAATGTAGTCTACACAATTGGGTGTCAGGAGGCGCTAGTTTTCTTTCTAATTTGAGGCACTCCTAGTTGAGCTATATCATGCGGTCAAGCTAAGATTGTTCAGAGAATCCGACATACCAATCAGGCATTCCACTACCTATCATGTCCACTTTAATAGCAGGCGGGGGTCAGTTGACGGACCCCATACATTGCTCTTGACAACTCCTGAGCAGACGCAGCAACTACATATACTACACGTCTGACCTAGGAGGGTCTGACAAAAATCGTGCTGACCATGATAAAATAATGAGCAGAACACTAAAAGCAGGTATCTTCCCCGTGTTGCTTGGCCAATGTTATGACCGTGTACATGCACCTTCTCCTGCTTTCCATGTTGACAGGTTCAACGGAGTACTCGGTGACTATCAGAGGACTACGGCACTACACTAAGTATCGATTCACTATTGCCGGTGTGAGTGAGTCTGCTGTTGGCGAGACCGTTACCGTCCACGTCACCACTGCCCAATACAGTGAGTTGCAACATATATTTTCTTTCAGTCTACAGTCACCGGCGGGTTTGTGCTCCTCTCATCTACAATCCCGCATGTCCTTCTCACTCCCACTCTTCTAATGACTTAGTACTAGCCAATGTCAGCTCATCATCGGAGAGGTAACCCATTCTTGCCTTGACACAGTTCGTTACATAGCCTTTTAGATCAATTATATACTCCACACATGACCAGCAGGCATGCAAATGTCATCATTCTGTCCTTTATTTGCCACAGGGTGCCCCTGTAAGGATGCAATGTACCTGTGGGGTGTAGCCCTGGAAGACCATGAATACATACAGCGGAAACAAGTGAAATTCAGTGTCGTTAATAAAGCATTGCCACGCTCCTTGCCCTGCCCAGTACTTGCAGTGCTAGGGCTGTATAACTACCAAGGTTGTTATGTTTATGAGGTTGGCTTTCACCTGCTATCATTGTGTCCGCATGCGTCACTTGCGTAACCCTCGTCGTATACAAAAATGCTTCACTTTCCATAATTATTATCTTTGCCAAGATTACTGGTAACAAAGCCATGGCCAGTCTTCTATTCCATGAGAACCATTCAATGGCTGCATGAGGTGGTCGGGTAGATTGTCTCTACAATCGTGTGGTGTATGACTTTTAAATGAACATAGCTGTACGAGATGGGAAGTAGTCTGACAGATCATTGTGATGGCTGCTTTTGTTGTGCTCCATGTTCCCTTCAGTCCCCAGTGACATCACGTCAGTTTGGGTGAATGTCACATCCTCTCTTGCCAAAATATACTGGAAACAACCAGAAGAGCCAAATGGTAAGTACATGTACTTTCATAAGCCGTTGCAGGAGTAGAGATATAAGTCTAAAGAAAAGATTAAGTCTGTGTCACCACCAGCATCTGAACCAGGGAGTTTGGGTAAGCAGTGCTTTACCATTGTACTTTCTTCTGCTTTAACTAAAAGATTATTGAGGAAAGTGTTAACGAAAGATGCTTTTAAAATCACACAGACACACACACACCTCAGACCTCAGACATGCCCATCGCAGAAGCGATGATAGCGAACAGCTATGTTAGACATAGCAACTTGTGCTGGGATTACACCATTCAACAGCTTGCAAGGCTGATGAATTGACCGCCACTATTTTTAGCCTGGTATCCACCACACAGCTGTTTGAAGTGACTCCACACACACACACACACACACACACACACACACACACACACACACACACACACACTACTACTACTACTATGATACAGCTACCCTAAACGGGTCACGCCGCCCTCCACCCAAGCATGAGCACTATGAGGGGCAGTGGCAAATAAAGAGAATCAGCTAGCAGAACTGGCAAAACAGATGAAACAATGGAGCAGAACGGACGACTGCTGTACAATCATGTTCGAGTACTGTAACAACAACCAGTTACCTGACAGCTACAGTGACAACGACTGAAAATGAACAGGAAAGAAAAAAAAATTCAAAAATTCACGCCACGAAAAAAACACTGTCCACGAAAGAATCCACCAAGCAAAAGGAGTGTGGGCATCCGAAATCCCACCAGGACTCCACTAGCAGTTCTTCCACGTTGACGATGTAAGCGGCAGGGCAATGCCTCACAAATCCGACAGACTTCCGCAACGCTTGACCAGTGCACTCATGACGACGAAAGATTGAAGTTTCAATTCCCACCATTCCGCCATTGCGACCTTCCTCTCCGCACTCGCTCGTCCACTCCACTGAAACAACGACTTGTTCCAGCACTCCACCAGCCAATCCGCAATTCCCACCACTGCATTCTTCGAGCTTGGATTCTCCACAGCACTCGAGGGATAGCTACTCCACTGCGAGTGGTGGACCACGGCCGACGCAGCAGTGACAATATCGAAGTAAATTGTCCTGCAAGCTACATCGCGATTCCGCGCTCCAATCATGCAGCACTACCTTGGCAGTGTGCGAGGGTGCTCCAGGGTCGACTCTGGCTACGCCAGAGTCGCCCTGGGCAGGCAGAAAAACTTTGGAGAAAGCCAAGAACACGGAGCTCAGAAAGTGTAACCTGCTCCCAAGGAGCACAAAAACACACACACACACACACACACACACACACACACACACACACACACACACACATACACACATACACATATCATGCGGTCCAGGACGTTGTTCTTCCACTGGTACACTATGGAAGGTATCCATATTTGGAACATCGGTTTGATCCAAGAGAACAACAGCTGCATGGAGACTCTTTGTTTTCCCTTTGCTAGGGCCCAGCAAGCTTTCAATGCCACACTGTTTGTGCAGGTATTGTTCTCTACTATCAATTACAGTACACACTGTTTGTGCAGGTATTGTTCTCTACTATCAATTACAGTACACACTGTTGTTTGGGGACGGTCAGAACTCTACGGCAAGAGGAACGGTCAACGTCAGCGCAGACACTACTGAGTACACCAATGCGGAGATGCTAGCGTCCCGTATCGACAGCATGCGGATAGCAGTGCTTGCAGTCAATGCCATCGGTTCTGGCCATCGCTCCGCAGTGATAGCATGTCGTATCAATGGAGTGTTGGCAGTGGATACTGTATGTGCTGGTAAGGGTCATGCAAGTCCTGTGCCTAGTGTCAACATAGTACATCCAGCTACAGTCAGACCTCGCATAACCGCACACATCCGTTTTCCACAAAAATTATCCGGATAGGCGAGGGAACCGGATAATCGAACACACATACTGTATGTATGCATGGCATATGCTGTAAATCGGTGACCAGCGATTTTCTTCCGGATGGCGAGAGATCCGGATAAAAGAGGACCGGATAGGCGAGGTCTGACTGTGCCCTTGTCACAGTGTGTAGCAAGAAGGAGCCATGGGTGTATGTGATTCCCGGTAGCCTAACCGGTAGGCCACTCACGGTCCCGGAAAGACAGGGGTGCTGGGTTCGAATCCCGCTCGTGGATCCCTCTTCTGCAATACTGCTTGTCAAATGTCTGCGGGCCTTTTTGCTATGGCTTTCAGTTCTCGAATACAGTGTATAGTTTGGTTGGTTCTTATGTTACTTCGCACATTCAAACGGGATGACGACCCAATAACATGATGGTGAAAGCTTAGCTTAGAAGTGGCTATGAAAGCACAGAGTAAAGGCTATGAAAGCACATAGTAAGAGATTAGGGAACTTGAAGCACTAACATTGGGGAGTGAATGGGGGGAGGAGGGGGGGGGGGGGGGGGGGAGAGAATACGATGTATCTGCACTACTACGTGAGGATTGCTGAACTGTACGAGGAGGGAGAGAAAAGGTAGCCGGGTGTTTGTGCGGACCTCACTAGGGAGAGCGTACCACAGCAGAGCACCAGCAACATAAAACCTCCGCTGACCGCAGCGGCTACGTTTGCCTGGCTGAGTAAGCCATTTGACTGTTGATGGCGGGTAACGGTGCCTTGTGCCGGGATCAGAAGCTGGGCGAGCACAGGGCTGGCGCGGGCGTGGATGTTCCACCAGATGGTGATCAATGTTTTCTGGGGTGTGTGTATGTGCACGCGTGTGAGGGTGCGTGTGTGCATGTGCGTATGTGTATGTGTGCCAGCTAGTTGGGTTGGTCGGCACACTTATGCCAGATAGCATCGGGACTGTTGCCAACAAGCTCGGCTGCTTGAAGTTGTACAAATTGTTGTACTTATATGTACGTAAGCGGGTGTTCGCGTATGTGTGTGTATGTGTATATGTGTGTGTATATGTGTGTGTATATGTGTGTATATGTGTGTGTGTGTGTGTGTGTGTGTGTGTGTGTGTATATGTGTGTGTGTGTGTGTGTGTGTGTGTGTGTATGTCACGGTGTGTGTGTATGTGAGTGCACGTGCATATACCTCTTCCACCGGTTCTCCGGCCTTGTCTTTTTCAGCCTCCTCCAACTTTTTAGAACTCGTCGGAACGCAAAGGTTCTTTCTGCCAGCTGGTATCGTAGGAGGATCTATTGTTATCGTAATCATCATCATTATAGCAGTCAAGCTGTGCCGAAGGAGACGTAAGTGCTTATTACTGGTGTGTGGCTAAATCTCGCTGTTGTGAGTGCTAAGGCCACTACTGCTTGGTTTTAGCACTGACAGCACAAGACGGTGCAATTAGAGGGATTTAGCCGGTGCTTAAAACATTATTGGTTCCCAGCCTCACCCACTCAGCATGCTGGGTTTCAGTCCACGGAAGTAGAGAGCATTATAACAAGTCGAATTTTCGAATTAAACATTCGCAATCGGACCTGCTGGTTGGTCACGCGAGCAAAGCCAGTCGAAACACCTCAGGAAGCTTTAGAAGAAGGCCCTTCAAACAGAAACTTCTGCTCGGACGGATCTCCATTAACTATCATGCTAAACAGGTACGCTGCACTGCACTGCTTATGGACTGTAAAACAATGTAGGCTATAACTACACTCAGTAGTACAACATGCTGTGTAATGTGGGGTTTCCTGGCGCTTTGTATTTTTTCTTGTGCTGAGGTGAGATTTAGTGTTTCTCTTCGCCGCCAGCTTCACTTTGCTGAAACGAAAATGGCTGATGATGGCTCCTAAGTCGTCTTTGATATTTTGTTGTGAACAGCAATGTTCTGGGCCAGTAGGAGCAGTGTTCACTAGCACCAGTCTCTACATCGACGACAAGGCGCACCAACTCAGTGTTACCCCTGTGACCTTCAGCGAGTCTGGCACAAGATAGCATCGCAACAAGCTGCTTACACATAATATATTTCATAAGAACAAATGTGCTTGAGTATCTAGATCATCACTAAACCGAAATCCCGAAGGTGAAATTATCAGTCAGCTGCTAAACCTCCTTTTCATTAGAAAGTCGTGGTTCGTTTTTCGTTTGCTTACGGGCACAATAGAACGGAAATTTCAACATGCTACTTCTCTCTAGTAAAACACTGGTCTGCGACAAAATTGGCAGACTCACCCGGTACCACTGAGAGCGTGCCATGAACCAGTTGACCCATTCCCTTGCGCTAGAGTAGGAACCTGACCTAGGCATCAACCCCGGCAGATTTTGTAATGAAAAACTAGAACTATCATGTACGGGCAAGCCTCTTTAGGGCGAACACCAAGGGACCGATAGTATTTTGTTTGCAATAATGAGAGTTCTTCTTATCTCTTATCTCAGATGGAGAGCCAAGGATGAAAATTCAGAAGAAAGGACCAAAGGTTTGCAAGCTACCCATAGTTGTCCAACACTGGCAATTATAAGCTTGATATTGATGAGTCATAACGTGCAACAGTTAGCACAATAATGATTCTTCTATCTTCCTCACGGGTTTTCACTGTGTGTGCAAATAACTGCACACCCACTGTTGTGGACTGTTCACTGTGTGTGCAAATAACTGCACACCCACCGTTGTGGACTGTTCACTGTATGTGCAAATAACTGCACACCCACTGTAGGCTGTTGTGGACTGTTCAGCTACTGTAACTGTAGGTCTACACATTTTCGGCTCATTCAAATTTCGGCCTCCCAGGGCTAAAACCCATTTCGGCGGCATCCAATTTTTGGCCTGTACTCCGGCATGCTGCCGCCTGTATACACTGTCACACAGAACCTCAGTGCAAAACCAAATTTCGGCCAAACATGACCAGGCCGAAAATAGCCGAAAATAAATATGCGCCGAATATTTGTAGACAAAATAGTAACCGGCTTTTAAACATTTTTCGTCGCATGCGTATACTAGCTTCAAGTTCAAAGAAACTCAGTTGTTCAGTGGTAGATCACTGCACAAAGTAGCATGGTTGCTCGCAGGCACCCTCACATGTATTCAATGGTTACCCATGGCTTGCTGAATTGAAGGTTCAGTGGGCTTTTCGTATCCCCTGGTGGCAGTTGTGAGTCAAGCAGTCATGGCGGAATTGCAAGCTCCCATGCTGGGACAATCAACCGGCTCTCTTCAAGTACCTGTGTTGCGGAAGTCACGACCAACCAAGTTGAACCAACACAGGTGGTTACAACCAGAAAGTGCATATTTGTTGGCTAACAACTTAAAGCTCAAAAAGTCCTAAACAGCTAACTATCTGAAGATTGAGTATTTCTTGGCTGCATGTTTTTTAAATAGAAGAAGAAAGCACAAGGAAACGAGTTATGAAGCAACTATCCACGACTGTAACAAGATAATAAGCAGTCATAAAGCGCGATAACAGGGCACAAAACTGACAGGCTCTATTCAACGACCTGAGACCTAGCTGTAACACAACTCCAGTGCACAAACCAACAGCATTCTGACTTGGAAAGATCCATTTATTATTGGATCATTATCCGAGTTAAATTTTGCATATTTTTCTTCATGCTTTATATAGGAAGATCAATTGCAAGACTATCGAGTGCCACTTTTCGTGCAGTGTGGACAAGGAATAGGTACGTGTTGATATTCTCCAAAATGCACGTGAGTCGTCATTAGTTGTTGAATGACTTACTTCGTCTGTGATACATGTAGCCTTTTTCTCATGGCAATGATTCTGAGTATCTGTGTGGATGTGTGTGTGTGTGTGTGTGCGCGCGCACGCGTGCGTGTGTGTGTGTGTGTGTGTGTGTGTGTGTGTGTGCATGTGGGTGTGCATGTGGTGGTATGGGTCCACTGATGTACATGCTCTTTTGTCAATGCATGAACCTGTAGGTTGGATTCTTTAGAGAGAACTTCCCAAAAGAGAATAAACAGTTGCAAGTCTCTGATGTCGAGCGATACACCTGCTCCAGTGGATCCTGCGATGATACTGCGCAATGTGGCGGCATGTGAGGGTAGTACTCTGCCTGATCGCGCAGTGCAGAACAATCAATCCCAGCCCGTAGAGTGTCGGCAAGATGACACTATTGCCAAGCTAGACAATGAGAGCGGGCCCTCTGCGAGTTCACGCGGTTTGGGAGGTACCCTGGTGAACGCTGCATCATGCGAAGAAGATACCAAGTCGGTACCAACAATTCAAGAACAGGGTATTCAATCGATAAGTGCTGTTCCCGAACTTCCTAAAGAGTCAGCCTGCTAACCTGATCATGCGGTTGCTTTGCCGACTCTCACGGCCGGAGCTGTTACCACCCACAGTGCAGGTCTCCTAACTCTCTCACAGTGACCACGATATGAAGCCGGATAGGCTTAGATCTTCAACGGAGATGACATCATTTTAAACTTGTTCGAAGGAATCAGAAGTTTCGTAACCATATTTCGTCGTATGATGACAATGGTCATGAACACATCATGGTTGCATCATCTGTTTACAAAATGATCTGTTTGTCAGTCTACATGTGCAGCCACCCATTTAACCCATACATGGCGTAGCTGCTAGCCAAGCTATGAAAGTTAGTATCCATCCAAGTTTGGTACCATTGCTGCTAGCTAGAAGCAGAGGAAGAATTAGATTATTCCAATTTTCTGGTCTCTTGGCTGCCAGGCCTTGGCTGGGGAAGTGTGTACTATGATGTTGTCATCCTGAACTCCAGCTAAATAATAATAGTGTTCATACTCTACATGTTACAGTAGCTAGCCACTGTTTTTGCTGGCCGATTCCTCAGCTGCCTATAAACAGGCTGTTGTGCGCAATGCAGATGATAGTGTCCTCATCCACGTATTTCCACAGCCACGCCAACAATTCTCATTTCATATTCAAGCGCCTCTATTGTCAGGGCACGCTTTTCAATAAAATTAATCATGATGACTCTCTAGATGGGCTGATTTCTGCTTGCACCGTAGTTAGCACAACTTTCTCAGTGTGAGTCACACTCTCATCCTTACTAGCCTACGGTGACTGTCATAATTTTCAATTTGATATGAAACTTGTGTTGATGTCCATGACTACACGTGCAACCCAGGCAATGTCTATCCATCACTGAATTGCATGAGGTCTACCAATAGTTACAGTTGTACGTGTATATATTGCATATCATGGCCCTACCGTCTGACCTCAGGTTTACTCAGTTGTCGTCACATGTCCATATGCACCGGTATCCTGTGTCCATGACGCCTGATCCTGCACCTTGATGTGGCATCGTGTGTACATGTATCCCGCTGTTGAGTGTTGGTGCGGCGTGCATGCTTGATGGGATCTAACTAATACTCAGTGTGTCCACTGCGTCACTGTCACTGAGCAGCCTAACACTAGTATTGTTATTAATTTTAGTCTTGTTAGCGTGCATGCTCGCCGCATAAGGAGGGCGGGGTCACTGCATGGTGCATTCATGTGGCCATGTTTATTTCATGACATTCCGACCCCTCCGAGTCGTAGCACCCGTCCAGCTGGTCCGGGCCATGGTTTCGAAAAAGGTTGACCCACCCAATGCGTTAGGCCTTGACGGATTATGCTAGCATAATTTTTCGCATAATTCCTACCAAAATCGAATAATCGCATAATTCGAGGCAAATTGCATACAAATCGTATATATTGGACTAATCCGCCTGTTCGCATCAAATTCCATACAGTTGTACATGTTCTACAAGTACAAGAACAAGTAGATGCACCAGGAAGTCGTAGGTTTACGACTCCCTTGATAACATGTCCAGTCCACTACAATCAGTGACGCCGTAGCTACAAATGTAGGTCGGATGGTGCGTTGACCCCGTTGAACTTTTGCTACTACAGTACAATGCCCTCTACAAAAAATTCCCCTGTTATTTTGCACAGAACCATCATAATGCATTAGCAGCATATGTGAGCACAATGCGGCATAATATGATAACTTTTAGCATACAAATAGCATAATTCTGCAATTTTTTTAGCAGTGCGAAAAGCATAATTTCGCGAAAATATTAGCATAATCCGTCAAGGCCTACAATGCGTGCAAAATGGGGGGGGGGGGGGGGTCCCGTCAATAATGTCCATTTCTGGTCAAGTACCCCATCTGCCGCGGCCTGAAATCCCAGTCACAGCGTGGCGGCGCAGTCACTACAATCATGTGGCTGTGCGAGTACTGAGCCTGTACTGTCTGTACTGGCCCATTTGACATGTCCATGATGTCTACAAATTAATTGTCAATGGTCTACCTAATGATTACCATGTGGAATGACTTCCGCACTACCCTGATACAGTACGAGTATGCAGGATCTACATGTATCTCCCGATCTTCTGCACATAATACTGTCCCCGGGGAAAATTGCGGAAAAAAATCGCAAAAAACGCGGGGAAAAACGCGGCATAATATGGCATAATTTGCGGTGAATTTGCGGTAAATATGCGGTAAATATGCGGTGAATAATATTGATGTGCGGCAATTTTCAGTGAGTATGTAGTGAAATCAATCAGTTACAAGTCTCTGGTGTAAGCACTCGTCATATTTGAGTAAAAAGCCGCCACGATGAGACGTTGCTGACCGAACAGTGCACTGTGTGTATGTGTAGTGCAACAAAAAAGTTTAAAAAACGCGGGAAAATCGCGGAAAACGCGGTCTTTTAAAAAATCGCAAAAAACGCGGAAAAAAACGCGGCCGCGGAATTGCAATTTTCCCCGGGGACAGATATTAAATAATAATATTGTTGATAACAAGAAGCAGGGAGTCATAATATTATAAAGGGCTCCCTGACAAAAAGTGTGTCTCAGGAAGTGAAAGACCCCAGGCCGGCCGACAACTCCCAGCAAGAGTTCATAACGTATCCCGTCGACCATGGGTCCGACGAACTGTCCCAACTCACTGGCTGATTTTTTCGACCATCTCATCGACATCTGACTTGACAAAACTGCTTTGGCTTTATGCTTTGCTTCGTCACTCCATGAAAAACGTGCACTCTTCTGGGGCTGTGTATGGTGAAATCCTCTTTTGCTGTCTGAAATGGCAAGTGCGAATGTGGGAGCTGACATTGCTCCGAGCGAAGCCGCTGCCCGTATGCAGATAAATTCAAGGAAAGTCAGTGTATCCAAAGAGAGGAAACGTGTGCCAGTCATGGGTGACCATCTTGTGCCCAATAGCAAGCGAGTTGCAATTGTCGGCGGAGGCCTGGTAGGGACCAGCGCGTTTTGGTGAATATGCAATGTGTTCACGCCTGTATCCACACCCGTGTCCATGGCTGTGTAACTATTCCCAGGTCGGCGCAATGGAAGCATTGTACATGGCCAAGCGAGGATTTGATGTGGATTTGTACGAAATGAGATCAGGTATTCAAGTACTCAAGAGATGAGAATTTTTAACTGATTTGTCGTACAGCCAGAAATTATCAGATCTGGAGATATTCTGCATTACCAGATTACGCAGCAGTATATCTTTCCTGAAGTCACCAACTGCCCATACCTATTGTGAGGTTGTATGCTAATCTGTAGTTTTCTTGTCATCACGTAGTGAGCAATCTGGAAGATAAGGGCCTGTTGAACGTTGATAATACTGTGATTGTGTACAGCTACTGTACTAACGAAATACAGTGACCATGCATAAACCACTTTTAACTACTTTAAAAAGTCTTTGCTGCATTCAATCAACTGTGCACTTAG